TGTGGTATCGAAGATCGAAGTCTCTCCTATACCACAACGCCTCAAACTTTGACGTGCGTTCTTCTGACGCTGTGTTATCGAAGCTCGAATGAGAACTGCGCCAGCTTTGGAACAACTCGAACTGTACACCTGGGGGTTCGATCTAAAAAGATTGATGCCAATTCCTGAATATAACTTAGCATTTCACAAAAGGAATCGTGCTCGCGGCCGTCACGCGAGCGTTCACGAGCGAGCCGAGCCGAATCGGAACGCGTTTAATATGTGGAACGACGCACTTAGCTTAATGTCGCTTGTCCTGTCGCGTCCGGAGCTTGCCGGGCGGTTGAACGATGAACAGGACGAGCCTGCACCGCGAGCCGAGCGATTCAGAGTCACCTGCATCTTTAAAGGCACCGAGACGGCCGGTCCATTCAGCCGCGAGCAGCTCGGAGCAGCTTTGAAATTTCTCGGAGTCTCGGGAAGCCTCGCCTCGGCTCGTTCGGTGGAAAAGTTCCGCGGAAAACAACGATCGACGAGGATCGACCGTTGTCAGGAAGCAATCGGCAACGCACCATTTCTGAATAATTGCTGGAGGATCGAGTCGAGGGGACACGGAAATAGCTTTCCGCGGCGGAAGAGCTTTCAAACGCGGAAAGAAATCAATACAAGCGACTTCTGTCGGCTCGTCTTTTAACAAGACTCCTTCTCCACCTCGCGGCCGCTCATTTCTTCCCTAGAACGCTTCTCCGGGAACAAGAACGATTTAAAAAGGCTGTTCTCGATTTCGCGGGATCGAAACGACCCCGGCTTGATTGCGCCAAACCGCAATCGACGACGCTGTCTGTAAATACGTTACAGCCGCGTGTGCGATAGTCGCGATCCTTTAGTTCAAGAATCTAATCGATCGGCAACGCGGCAGGATCGAGGAAGAGTCGTGTGGAATGAGAAATTTTGATTCGAATGAGAGATTTTGTGGTAACAAAAATCGAACGAAGTCAACGCACGAAGGTATTTCAAATGACAACGCGCGGCACGATTAAAGGCCGTATTATAGAACGAGAAATATCGCACGGAAAATCTGAATAGAATTTTATTCGTTTCCACATGACTTCCATAAAAGTAGCGTATCGCTGTTATCTAGCTATCGCATCCGATGTTCCATTTTTCCACATGCATCGTGGCCTTTCACGCTATCTTCGTCCGCGCAGCCTTTCCCAGAACCAGTTCACCGTACAATCGGAGAATCAGGCGCGTCTGCGGCAAGTAGAATCGTCCGATCATGATCGGACACGCCTCGAACGGCAGCGTCCGTTCCCCGAAATGTTGCAACAGGAATTTCTCGAAAACAGAGCCACGCGCAACGTTCTACGTTTGCCACCTGTGTGTCCTCTGGTTGATTGATTCCCCCCGGCAGCCGCGGCAGCGGATCGGGAACGGTCCGTATATCGGTCGATCGAATTTTTCTGTCGCTCGAGCCCGCTCGTTTCACCTCGTTGTTAAGTGAAACGTTAATTAGCGCGCTAATCGATCAGGGATTACACGACGTTCCCGGCTCCCCGCCCCTTCGGCTTTCTCTCTTCCTTTTTCCATCCATCCCCCTCCCCCCTCCCGGCTCGGTCAACTTAATCCGCAGGTTACTGCGTGGCGCCGGTAATTCCGCCCCATCCCCACGTTTTCGACCTTGTTTCGTTGGTAATCCCACCGGCGGGGCGAGTGGACTATACTTTCGGTGATCGAAGCGGCCGGGATCTAGATGCAATCACTCCCCGGCCCGCTATCGTCGTAGCCTCGCCGGGAGATTTTCTATTTTAATGCCCGATGGAGGCCTCGATTGTTCGCCAATCGGAAACGTCGCGCCGGGAATTTCTTACGGGGCACTGCGGGAAATTATTAGATCGGAATCTCTGGACGGGAAGACAGCCGACGGTTCTGGAATATTCTACGACGCCTGCTCGAACGCGTTCCGTGACCCGAGCGAGTACCGCCGCGACGCGACGCAGCTCGCAATCATTTTCTCCTCGCTCATTAGGCCGCAGAAATACGCTGCTCAGCGAAATTACAACGCGGACAAATTTTCGGTCAAAATTGGCCAACATCGACTCGCGATCACTCCGCGATACATCGTCGCGTCGTCGTTGCTTTAAAGTGCTGTGACTATGCGAAAAAATGTCGCAGACGCGTTTCTTTTTCTTTTGATTAAAACAGGAGGATCGAACTTTATTCCGCTGCAAGCGGTATCCCCGAAAGAAAATGGACAGTGTCCGTGCATTTCGACAAAATTGGCGATTTTCGATATTACAAACGTGGCTTCACATTTGAATGATTCCAGTATTGAAAGAGCGTTGAACTTAAAATCGAGGTATAGCGTCTTAAAATAGAGATTTCAAGCTTCAATCTAAGAAAAAGGTCATCATTCTACGACGATTTTTCGCGAAGTTATCACCAGTCAAAGTTGGTCAATTTTTATCCGAAGTTCGTCTATGCTATAATTTTGAATCGTCAATTGTTCTCAATTCTTGTTTCATTCCGCAAAATGAATGATGTACACTGGAACGTCGCTTATTCGAGCCAATTGCGAGAACACGAATATTTTTGCAGTAGAAGATTTTCTTGGGCACGGTCTGTAAATCTTTCCTGACCTTTAGAATAAATGTTGCTGCATGTACAGTAAAATTTCTCCCTAATTCGCGCTCAGATTACGCACAAAATGGACAATTTTGGAGGAGGAGATACGGTTATTCGAGCCTTGTGGCTCGTTTTTATAGCTACCGATTGTTAACAATTCTAAAAACGAGACGCAAGGCTCGAATAATCGTATCTCCTCCTCCCAAATCGTCCATTTTTATGCGCAATTCGAGCGCGAATTAGGGATAAATTACTGTAGATTGTCCTTAGATTCAGACGCTAAAGCGTGTTTGAATAACAGCGAATTGAGACATCGGAGGTCCGGGTAATCGAAGCTCTACCGTATTCCAAGGATATATAGAAAGAAGAAAACTATGACACCTAGCTTGCGAATGATCATCGGACTACAAGGTAAACCGCGGTAGGCTAGAGAACAATGTTGTACCTACATCGTCTATATTTGATGCGCGTGATTCATGCACGCATCGTTGTGCAGCGTCGAGTTAACATTTCAGCTTACATTGCGCAAAAGTTTTCTCGACTGTGCTTTTTAACATTTCCGCGATGTTGAAATATTACAATTATATTTCTGCGGGGTTTGTTTCAGCTCTGCTCGAGCGAACATTTCCCTGTTTTCTGTTTCCAGTTACCGCAACGTGTCTTGTATCTCGTTTACAGTTCCACGAAGAGAGATCGAAAACTCCGGGAAACAGACTCGCGTTTCGTCGTATCGGTGGCCAAGGCACCGGATGAGCAGGTGTAACAAGGTGTCGCGGTTTGATAGGCGTATCTCGCGCAGGAGGCGTCACGACCTGTCCCAGAGGCCTCGGCTAATCTGCGTATCCTGAAACAATAATGTTATGTGTCCACCGCGATAACGCGTCTCCTACGACAATGAAAAATCCTGGCGGCGTACTGTGCACGTGTTAGGGGTCCCTCGGGAGTCCACCTGTCTCTTGGCTTGCCATATTAACTGCTAGACACTGCTCGAATCTGCCACCGTGCCATTCTCCGAGCACCGAAAGGCCAACGCCTAACTCAGACCTAATCCGGACCAAATGCGGACCAAGTCGCGAGACACTGTGTGTCGCTGCTTATTACTTATAGTTGAAGCCATAAATTCCAAAACAGTCCACTGTTCAATGTTGCACGAGTTATCAGCGACATCATTGTTTTCTAATTATACAGATTCATCTAACTCGATTTAACATTTTATTTAGCGGTGGCCTGTTAAACAATCATTTCGAAAGCGCTTGCTACGTTATATCGATCTAAATGAGAAGTTCTGAATTGTCGATTTTAAGAGAACTATTACAAAACCGTCGATGGATGCAGCGTTAAAACGACGCGAAAATTTCGCCGAGAGCGATCGACGGAAAAATGCTCGCGGAAAAAAGGCCAGGAGAATTGTTAACGGTATGAAGGAGGCGAACGAAAAATTGTCTCGAACTATCGATTGACGGGCCGGTGCCGTTTCGGGATACATGGCTTCAATTTCAGACTACCAAGGTGCACCAGATGCGCAAAGATTTTACGACGCCTGGGGAACGTCTCGGGGCTAATTGCCGCAGCGAACAATATACTACTTGTACGTTCCGCAGCATAGTTTACGGAGCGTAGTATAACGTTCGTTCGCGAGCGGAATAGGAGCGTTCCGTCGGGTGATCGGAGGCGAACCAACGAGCAGGTGAAAACAGCTGCATCTCCATTAGACAGTTCCATTCGGACGGTTCAGGAGAGTCTAAACGAGGAGCCTTAAAGCGAGTCCGGCCGGCCCGGCGAGCGGACCGGAACTTAAAGCCGCGGTTCCTTCCTGCTGGCAGCCCCTCCGCGCCCGACTAATTAATTCTGGTCCACGTTGACAGACGGGAGAGTACAAGTTCAGCCACCCCGCTCGCAATCGTAACCGGGCAGAGCCAAACAGAAAACACCGCGCCGCGAGGGGAGGGAGAGACGGGGTAGGGTTGGACGCGCGATAAAATTCCGCATTTGGCCGGGCATCTACGGCAGAATCTCGACCTACGTTCAGGTGATCCGGCCGCTTCCGTCCAAACATTCGCAGACGATTCGTAAATTCGGCGGAAAAAGGAGGGTGGCCCGTGGGGGTGGGTGTCGCGACGGCGAGCAGAACGAAAGAGGAGTTTTGGGCGTATGCGGCGTGCGCGACTACCCTCTCCGTTTCACCTTTGGAGCCCCGTTTCACCCTTCCGCGACTACCTCTCTCTCTCTCTTTCTTTCTCTTTCTCTCTCTCCCTCTCTCTCCCTCTCTTTTTCTCTCTCACTCTCTGGTTCTCTGTTGTCCGCTCCTGCTCTCCTCGGTCTCCGTCGCACCATCCACCCCCGTGAAATCGACGTTGCGCGTTTATCGAACGACTGCGCGCGCACCGATAACAGGGATGGGGCGTGCGAAGTGTTGGTTGGTCGCAGAGGAGGCGGCGGTGGACGAACGAACGTAGGGAGCCGTACGAGCGACGTCGACGACGAGGACGAGGACGAGGACACGGCGACGGCGACGTCGGCGAACACGGGAGCCACCGGACAGACACGAATCGGAGGCCGCCGCGCGATACGCGACCCGTTTGCTCTCCGACTCTCTCTCGTTCTGGCGAACGCTCATCCCCTCGCGTTGTCAACAAGCTGACACTGCAGCTCGTGGTAGTCGTGCCCGTGCCCGTGCCCGTGCTGCCCGTTGTCGTCCAGCTCTCTGCGAGAGACCACCGTGCGCATTCCAACGTCATCCGTCTCTCGACGATTCGAGGGACTGTTAATCGGCCCCCTTCGCACATTCGTGAGTACTGGACTGGTAAACAAACGGGGAGGACTTTCCGTTCGATGGGACCAACGGTGACGACATGGCCCACTAGTGATTAATACGCGGTTGCCCGCGCGTGGATTAAACATCGTATCTGTTCGTCGATCGCTGTCAAGATATCTCGAGGCCTTTCGCTAGAGGGATCGAGGATTTCTTCGACCAGTGTTGTCCGAGTGAAACGGGAGTGCATCGAAAGTGCTGGTGCAGCCTCGACTGGCTCGGAGGGAGATTGGACCGATCTCTCGAAATAACGAGAGAATAGGGAGAGAGAGAGAGAGAGAGAGAGAGAGAGAGGGAGAGAGAGAAAGAGAGGGAGAGAGAGGGAGAGAGAAAGAGAGGGAGAGAGAGAGAGAGAGAGAGAGAGTAGCGTCCTGAGGGCCCCGAGCATCGCTTCTGTATTTTCGTTCACCTGGTTCGTCCTCCCTCCGAGTGGCGGAGGGCGGTGAAGCATCGATCGCTCGCCATTTTGCACGACCACCGACATCTTCTCCACGCATCGACGACATTTTCCCTCGTGACTGGTCGCCCCGCGAAGACACTTCTCGCGGAATCGTGGGTGGAACGTCTCGCGGAGGTTGGTTCATGCGAGGTCGGACCGGTCCTAACGTTCTCGCGAGCCTGTTCGTTTATTGATCGCGGCCAGCCGCGACAGAGTCGTCGGGGTGGTTTCTTCGAGTGCGAGGAGAAGTTACGCGCGGCACAGCCGATATAGTTTACTGCTGTTCGGTGACCGAGGAAAAGGAGGAAGGAGCGTCGACGAGGCGACAAGTGCTCGAGGGAGGCGCAGCTAAAGGCCGAGAAGGAGAGGCGGAAGGAGCCGGAGCAGGAGCAGGGGGCAGGCTCGTTCAGGTCGAAGTTAGAAGTCAGCAGGCTGGGAGGTCGGCTGAGTGAAGTGGTGGGTCCCGTCGTGGAGGAGGCCATCGAGCCAGGGGATGCGACTCCGCTGACGGGGCCCCCGAGGGAGTCCTCGGTTCCCCGAGCGCCCCCGCCACCCCCGCAACGCGTCACCACACCGAGACCGCCGAGACCTCCGCCCACTACGTCTCAGCAGACACAGAAACCGGGTCATCAGGCCCTCGAGTCGACCTCGGACGGCCCGAATCCGGGTCACCAGGCCCAGAACCCCGGCCAGCAGCCGCAGAACCCGAGCCAGCCGGCTGCGAACCCGGGGCCCCAGCAGAACCCTGCTCAGCAGAGCCAGAATCCCGGCCAGCAGGCCGCGAACCCGGACCACCAGTCGAATCCGGGCCCGCAGGCCCAGAACCCTGGCCAGCCTACCCAAGGCGCCAGTCGGCAGAATCCTGCTCACCAAGCCACGCAGACTCAGGCTCAGGCTCAGACTCAGGCTCAGGCCCAGCAGCAACAACCTGCGCTCCAGCACCAAGTGTCTCAGTCCCAAGCGCAACCGCAGCCGCAGCCGCAATCCCAGCCACAGCCAGCGCAGCAACCACAACCACAACAACAACAACAACAACAACAATCGCAGGAACAACGTGCCGCCAGCATGGGCACCGTGTTGTCGTTGACTCCGTGCGACAAACGCGGATCGGTGTTCCCGCCAGCGGGTCACCAGCATCCCGCCGACTTCACGCTGAACAATTTTAATTACGAACAGCTGAACAATGCGAAGAACCGCGAGAACAAGAGCAGCGTCGCCGCGGTGGCGCCGGCGCCGCCCACCGGCCACCCGCCCACGAACAAGAACTCGTTGCAGAACAACAACATCAACCTGAACAACAACGACAACGCCCGGATCATATCCGAGAAGAACGCCCTCGAGAAGAACCTGAAGAAACACTCGTTGTTCATCAACGCCCTGTCGTGGAAGCGGTTCAGCACCTCCAACAACAACAAGAAGAACCTCGACAACAACAACAAGAACACCGCCTTCAGGCAGCCGCTCGAAAACATACCCATCGTCGACAAAAACAAGAACATACAGACGCCCCAGGTGAGTGACACGACGACGCGCCTCCTCCATTTTGCTTCGGACGGTGCGCGGCCAAACGATGCACCGATCTCTTATCGGACTCGCGACTGGATCCCTCGGCATGTTCCTGCTTTCACGAATTGTTTTACGAAATCAAGGCAATTTTTGCTTTCGAGACATTCCTCGAACATGTTTCTGCTTAGGGTGCTGAGAACGCTTATGCTGCTTTCGAGTTGTTAAACAGAGAACTCGTTCCGGAGAAGAAACATGTTTGTGCTGGTCTCCTCCTTGGTTCTTTGAAATTGACATTGGCGATAAATTTGAACTTTACGCGCGGATCCGCGGTCCGATTCGCATCGCTCGTCTAGAAGCTTGCAGAGAACGAAGGTCGGCTAATTGTTAGTCGCAGACGTGGAATTAACCAAGAAAGTTCGCGATGCTTCTAGGGTTTGCCGTCTATTAAACTGTGCACGCACACGCTGCATCGATTAAAGGCGAGCTTGTTTGACCCTCGTGCTCTGCTCAAACGTGGTTACAGCGAAGCGACTTTCCCTCGTTTTCATTTTACGTCTTGAAATACGGGATCGCGTGTAACCGGGCAGCGGATTTGCGCATTTTAGTGGAAGACGAAATCGTGAAACAGTCGTAGTTTCCAAGTGTTTTATACCGAAAAATCTGGAAACCGCAAAGGGGTAGAAAAGCTATTAGATTTTGGGGGAAAAGAAGATGTCTATCGCTCGAATCACCTGTCAGTTTCAAGCGGAACGGTCAAATGTCTCGGCCGCCTAATAAAATGCCGAGCAGCCTGTCGAGTCTACCTTCGGCTTCCGCGTGCGGAACGAGTCTTGTTATTATCACGCGTGCACGCGGACTGCATAGTGGCCCATTTCCGTGCGGCGTCCGCTTCGTAGCCCCGAACAAGTGTCTTGGAAGTTCCGTGGGAGGCACGTCGAAGGTGCTTTGACCCCGAGCACACGATCGAAAGCGTATCGATCCTCTCGGCGTGTTTCCCACCGCGTTTTTCCAGGCACGTGCTGCGCTTACGCCGTTCCCTTCCCACCCTCTTATCAGACGATTCCTATCGACCCGCGAATCTTCGTGGATTCGAAGAAACAAAACTCGCTTCGTAGAGTCGTAACGTTCGCTTTTCTTCTTTTCTCGGAACAGACGAAACCGCCAGCGTCGAACAACAACCATGCAACGCACAACCCGACGTGCGAGAAGCTCATGCAGAAGCCGTTACCTCCACTGTCCAGGAAAACTGTGATCCAAGCCTCGACCTCCGAATTGCTCAAGTGCCTCGGCGTCTACCTCCACAGGAAGTGCACCCGTTTAAGAGACTTCCGGGTGAACGACGCCGTCATGTGGCTGAAAGCCGTCGACAGGAATCTGGTGATTCAGGGCTGGCAGGTGAGTCGATCCTGGATCCACGGCGTGACCTATAAACTTTCGTCGCGGCACCGCGAAATGTCATTCCACTCGCGGCGCTCCGCTGAATGATACAACCAAAAAGGTTAGGAAGCCGATGCGGCGTAAACAAATTGTTTGTCAGAGTTCAGGGCGGTGCGCGCTGCTACGGAGGCGGTGTTCTCTCGAAATGTTAACCGTCCACGGATTTCGGACCAATCTTTTCAGACTCTTCACTCGCATGAAATTGAGATTCTGCTTCTCGAATCTTTCTATCGAACATCGTCGGTTCGTTAACGATTCAGAGCGTAGGGGTAATTCTAGGAACGAACGTTTCCGCGTGAAAGACTGAAAAAACGAGGAAGAGAAAACTCTGCGTTGCAGAAATTGAATCGATGACGCTTCTATCGATTCCAGCAAGAACTCGAGCAAAACGGTATTCCTAATAATGAAATTGAACTTTAATTGGACGTAACTTTTTATACGTCAGCCGGCATCGAGGTCAGGCCCGATGCGTTATATCGCCGGCTATAATATAACCGAACAAGTTTCAGCTGCGGTAGCCTGCGGTTTTGGTAACGAGACCGTGTTTGCTATAACGTCGTCGGTACGGTAGCTCTACCGTGGCATACTTTCCATTCAACGTGCGGCAAAACTGCGACCAAAAATCGTACATTCAACTTTCCCTAGGCCGTTTTAAAGAAGACACTTCGCTCTATAAAACGATCCTAGATGGGCCATCGTACGATTTTTCCTCATAAAATAGCAGCAATTCAAAGTTCCCCAAAATATTGGGTCGTTCGGAAAGTTGTTTCGTTTCTCAAAAAAGATTTCGTTTTGTAAGCTCGTTAACGAAGCATGTGATACAGCATTTTANTAGCCTGCGGTTTTGGTAACGAGACCGTGTTTGCTATAACGTCGTCGGTACGGTAGCTCTACCGTGGCATACTTTCCATTCAACGTGCGGCAAAACTGCGACCAAAAATCGTACATTCAACTTTCCCTAGGCCGTTTTAAAGAAGACACTTCGCTCTATAAAACGATCCTAGATGGGCCATCGTACGATTTTTCCTCATAAAATAGCAGCAATTCAAAGTTCCCCAAAATATTGGGTCGGTCGGAAAGTTGTTTCGTTTCTCAAAAAAGAATTTCGTTTTGTAAGCTCGTTAAAGAAGCACGTGATTCAGCAAACGACGGGGCTTCCACGAGACAAGATTTTGAAAACACCAGAAAAATGTCGGAAGGTTTTTCTTTTATTTGAAACGTTAACAAATTTTCTTTTATTTTCTTGTGAAAGTATACCTTTCACTCAAAGTCGAATGAAACGTTAAATAAAAATTAAATAAAAATTAAATAAAAATTCGATAACAATTAAATAAAAATTAGATAAAAATTAAAAATTAAATTAAATAAAAATTAAAAATTAAATTAAATTAAAGTAAAAATCGTACATCAAATACTGGGGGTCATCGCAAAATTGAAGCTTCAATCTTGAAGCATCGTGGATTCGGTGACGGGAACAATTTCCGAAAGTTTTCGGAGACCTTCGCTTGAAGGGACACGTCGCGCAAAGCTTGCTGGTCCCGTTCAAACAATCCCCTTGTACGACCGAAGGGAAACATTTGCGGTTGCCCTAGGTTCACCGGCCGGTCTATCTATCTCCGGGCGGACCGGGCCGATAAACTTCGTCCAAACATTTTAGTGAGACCGTCGTCGGCCGATAGTACACGCTCGACGGTGTTCGAGTCCTGATACCGTGATGCCGCGATTACTAATAAATTGTTTGAGGAACGGTTGCCGCTCGAGGGACGAAGACCGGCGCTCGATATCGGGCCAATTAACGGCGACGCGATAATTAATATTTATCCTTCGCGATGTAGCCGGTATCCGATTAAGGCTTATCACTCGAGCACCGTGATAGTAAGTTAATTAACGGCGGATTCGCTTTGTTGACGATCGAACCACCGCTTCGCGGCGAGCCGAGCCGAGCCGAGCAGCCGACGATGATGCCGCCGTCGTCGCCGCCGCCGCCGTAGCGCGCCGTCGCGATCATAACGTTGCATAACGATCGAGCACGCCACGGGAAACAAAAGTTCGCCAGACCGTTCTAATTGAGAGCGTGCTTCCGCCGGCCCGGAAAAAATCGGCCCCGATCGTCGACGTCCATTTCTGAGTCGGTGCACATCGGTCTAAAGTGGCGAGAGCCAGCCCACTCTTACTTGTTAGGCGAAACGAGATCCGCACGCGTCAGATCCCGAACACCCGGAGCACCCTCGACTACTCTCCTGGCGGACTCCTTCTCGCTCTATCGACGGTACAGACCCGGTAAAAAGCTCGCAGGAAAGGCTCAAGGAACATCGACTCCGTCGGAAAGTCCCGTCGCGTTTCTCGAAACTTCAACTTTCACTTTACTCTATTCGATTCTCCGGAGCATAACACTGTAGATTCAATAGAGAAGTTTGTCAAGAGTTACTCAGGGAAATATGTTTATAGTTTCGGTGACTTGAATTCTGTTAATTGGACTTGCAGTCTACTGGGTACATTTCTCGTTGAACACAATGCCGTGGAATTTCGGAGGACTTCGATCCGAGCACTTTATCCGCCGATCTTCTGACAGTTCTTTTCAAGTCAAACAAAATTTCTTACAAAATTATTCGGATCCTTCTCGTCTGTAATCTGTCAAATTATTAAGTCTACCGGAAAGTTCTGTCTGATAATGTCATTGCAAATTTCGATAGGTATGCACGTGTTCATTTGAGACATATATTTTTGGAAAATGTTGCTCACAAATAGCCATCACGCTGGCAAGAGGTCATAAGTAACGACGGAAATTATATCGTACAATAAATATTACTAAATTTATGAAAAATCTATTATTTCCTTTCATTTCTTAAACGGACAGAACTTTCCGGTAGACCTAATTTGGATTAATCTGATGTGCCAAGTTCTCTTGAAAACATTTAATAGAAAATTGTCGAGCTTCTCTTATGAATGAAGAGTAGAGCTTCCTTATTTTGGAGCTTCCTTAAGATTTGCTAAAAATCACGTTACACGGAACCCGTACCAATCGGAGTAGCATTAAACGAGGTCATCCTGTAGCACGTATCTGAAACTCTAAAATTAAATAGCCAGGCGAAATGTCGATATCTCGCGCCTCTAGAAACGAAAGGAAGAAAACGAGAAACGCTGAAACTTCGATGTTTGCTAATCGGTTTTCGCGGGCAATTGTGAAACATGGATTACGGTAAGCCTCGCACACGGGTCGGAGAACACGCAGGATAAACATTGCAACTGGGTGAACGGTCGTAAACTCTTGGAGGTTAGTGTATCGTGTGCAGCCGCGACCCACGGGAATACTCGTAATGAGAGCCGCCGGGGGCACGTTAGTCACAATATGTCGCAAAGGGAATCAAGAGCCGGCACTACTTTTCGCGGAACGAGACACCGGGTTTCCATTTAGCATCCCATATCCATATGGCACTCGGCAGAGCGATGAACCAGCCTCGGTCGAACGCACAGCACGGCAGTCTCTCTGCGGTGCATGTGCGCGGCCGCGAAGGACGCCATCGATCAAGCGGTTTCCCTATGAGTCCGCTTCGATTTCGGGCGAATTTCGCGTTTATGCTAATGGGGTACTGTGCGACGGGATTGCGGCCTATGCAAATTTGATGGTCGCCGCTCCCCGCGTGGCTGCGATCGATCTACGCCGCCGAGCCGCGATTCTCCTTGGTCGCGGAAAGAAATGTCGGTCCCGGAGGCCGCTTTCCGGGTGAAGGTGAACATGGCGTTTTGCATTCGGTGCTCCCTGCGGAGGAATCACGCTGAGGCCGCAGAAAATTGTTCTTCTTAAGCACAGCGGCGGGCAAACTTTCATTAACGCTACGGCCGCCGCGTCGTCGTTCGTGCACGGATCACGCTGATTTTTAACCAGGTCTTGAAAGTCGTCTCTATTGTAATATCTTCGAACGAACTGAATGTTGGTAAATTTTTTTAGAATGTATAAGCGTCAAATGAATAGTTGTCACGGTTTTTTTTTAACTTTTTAGTTTCGGTTTCGTCACTTGACGCGTCAAAGGCTAGTCGACCGGCTGAAATCGTCACGTTCGTGAATTTCCTCCGGAAAAAAATTAGTGGAGCTTTTTCTCAATTGAGTTGCTCATTTGAAAGCGCATACATTGTACAATCAATAGCAATTTTTCTGTCGCGAAGTCTTAGAAAATGCCCGACTGGCAGTCTGTCTCTAACGAGTCGTTTTATCAAACTCGCTGCGCAGGGTTTCATAAAGATTTTCTAGAAAAATCTTATCTAGATCTCCAGTTTAAACGTGTCTGGGCATTGTTTATGCTACAAAAATTACACCGTCGTATTTGAGGCAATCTATAGGAGTTGTTCTACGTCAGAAACATCGTGATAGATTTTACAGTAGAATCGCAATGAATTTTTGAGAACTGGGAAAGGGAAAGCGGGAAGGTGTTTCCTCGATCCTCGCACGAGAAACCAGTTAATTAAGGTCCCAGCTCGTTTCCATGTTTTATTGCCCACAGAAGGGTTAATGGAAAAGAGCAGATTATGCTCGAATGCTGGTCACAAAGGCAATCTATTGGTCGCCCGGGATCGCTTGTCGTTCCAATCGGTGTCTCTTTGTAGCTGTCAGACGAATCTTCCGGGGTGTGGGTGTCGCAGAACGGTGAAAAAAGTTTTGCTGGTGGGTCCTGACCTTATTCCTCAGCTGGAAGTTTCCGGGAAGCGGAACCTGGCACCTACCTCGCCCTCCTCAAACATTCACCGGCATTTACGTCATTCGAAATCCCTTGCGAAAGATGGCGTAATCCGGCGAATGTAATAAATCCCTGGATTATGAGCGAGGGTTAGCAAGCCACATTCTCGTTAAAACAACGCTTCACGGTGAAAAACAAAATTCACTAGGATAGTTTCCCGATCTTCTAACAATTGCGCCCTTAACCCTAGAAAGATAACCATATGACAACGTACGTAAAAGATAA